TGCCTGCTGCTGCTTCCCCTCATCCTCTTCATCACCCTGTGCTGCTCCTCTTCATCCTCCTCTTTCTCCGCTCGGCCTATCGCGACCGCGGGAGGTGAGTGACCACTGCCCCCTTGCACCTTCCCAGCCAGCGGAAAAAGCTCCACGCTTCACCTCTGGACCAGCCGGAGACAACCACAGCTTTGGTCAGGAAGGGTTAAACTAGGGATAAAAGATAATATCTGGGATGAATCTCATCTGTCAGATAGATGCTGTAGCCATCTCAGTTGGTGGGTCAAAAGTATATGTTCAAAAGATGGAGAAACAGCACTGCCAAAACCCACGGTTAGCGGTAATACACCCTACTCAAAACAAAAAAAATCATTAAAAAATCCATAGTTTGCAATAAAATCCCGAAAAAAATCACAAATGTCAAGGAACACATCTTGCATGTCCTAGATTCTTTTTTAGATGATTTATTAAATAATTCAAAGAAAGAAAAATCTTTAAACGTGAATGCCTTATACTGCGGCAGTTGAAAAATATATCCTGGCATTATCTGTCCACTTGACCAACTATTAGGCAAGAACGCAAACGTTTGAAAAATCAGAGTGACAGACTTTAAAGAAGCGCTTTGCTATTGTAACCAGCTTACAGCAGGCTTTGTAAAGAACGTATTTTGAAAGTTTTAGCTCATTTGGATAAAAGGCTGATTTTATACAATTTTTTGAAAAGAGGTCCGTGATTTCACAACAGGGTGAAATGTAATTCAAAATGGCCGACTCTACTCAAAACAAAAAAAATCATTAAAAATCCATAGTTTGCAATAAAATCCCGAAAAAAATCACAAATGTCAAGGAACACATCTTGCATGTCCTAGATTTTTTTTAGATGATTTATTAAATAATTTAAAGAAAGAAAAATCTTTAAACTTGAATGCCTTATACTGCGGCAGTTGAAAACCCCATAAGATGCTCAAACATGCATAGATTCACGCCAAACTTGGCAGTCTTTTCTATAATCAAAGGATAAATAACTGTTCCAAATTTGGCTAGGATTGCTATAAAACTTTTTGAGATACAACAATTTCCTGTTAACACAAACTTTTGAAAAATCAGAGTGACGGACTTTTAAGAAGAGCTATGCTGTGTTTACCATCAAACAAGTAGCGATTAGAGGAATATATTCCAAAAGTCCTAGCTCTTTTGGGAAAACAACTGATTTTTTAGAAATATTTTAACATAGTGATTCTATTTTCATAAGGGTACCGTTTGATTCAAAATGGCCGACTTCATGAGAGGTTTAGACCATGGCTCCAATGAAACTTTTTGTAGGTGGAGAGCTCATACAGATGTGTGCCAAATTTCATTATCCTAGGAATGAGCATGGCTAGGGGCTGAATTATTTCCTGGCATTATCTGTCCACTTGGCCAACTATTAGGCGAGAACGCAAACTTTTGAAAAATCAGAGTGACGGACTTTAAAGAAGCGCTTTGCTATTGTAACCAGCTTACAGCAGGCTTTGTAAAGAACGTATTTTGAAAGTTTTAGCTCATTTGGATAAAATACTGATTTTATACAATTTTTTGAAAAGAGGTCAGTGCTTTCACAACAGAGTAAAATGAAATTCAAAATGGCCGACTTCCGGTGGGGTTTAGACCATGGGTCCAAGAGGCTTTTAGTTAGGGCCTGATGAGGTGCAAATGTGTTCAAAGTTTCAATATTCTAGGACTAAAAACGGCTTGGGGCTGGTGGTTTGAAGTTTGTTATTTCTAGGGGGCGCTGTAGGAAAATTAAGCCCCGCCCACAAAATATTGCTCTGGATTCCTGTTTGGAGTTGGACTAGGATCATCTCTTGTGATTTTGGTGCAGATCTGATTATAAATGAGGAAATGAGAGCCAATCGTATTTTCATGGCGAAACGCCTCACTTCGCCATGGCGCCACGGCAACACCATTTGACTAAAGCTCTCTGTGCCTTAAACGAAGTTAGGACAACATGTTGTCTGTCTGCTGACACAGTTTTAGGTTGATGAGGTCAAGTAGGACAGAGAGGGACCATTCCAAGTAAAAAACGTGACTTCCGGTTCTCAGGGGGCGTGGCTTCAATTATGTAACAGTTTTAACATACAGTTTTGTTGGGAACCGAGAGAGGATTAATACTACCAGGTTTCGTGTCATTTCAGTTTCATATGTAAAAGTTATTGCATTTTGAAAATGTTGGCGAGTACGCCAACTTCGAGGCCTGGCCACACCCCTTTAAAATGCTGGAAAACTCAAAAAGTTTGATAAGTTTGGATCTCACATGCCTTATCTGCATACATGCCAAGTTTGAAGCCGATGGCTCACCGTCCCTAGGAGGAGTTCGCGAAAGTTCGACGTCAACAAAATTGAAAAAGTGCCAAAAATCGGCCTTTGAGCCAAAATGGCTGACTTCCTGTAGGTTTTAGAGCATACCCATAATGTAACTTTTTTCATGATTTGGTGAGATCTATGCACCTGCCAAATCTCAAATCTCTGTGACTTACGGTTTTCCCCAACTCACGTTAGGGGGCGCTGTAGAGCCATTTGGCCACGCCCATTTTGGATTCCATTATCATACGTAAATTTCACTAGGGGGACAATTTACTGCCAAGTTTGGTGAGTTTTTGAACATGCTAAAGCCTCCAAAATGCTGTTTCTTTTACGCGGAGAAAAATAAGAAATAATAATAATAATAACAAACGATACAGGAACAATAGGCTCTCGCAGCGGTGAGCTGCTCGGGCCTAATAACAAACGATACAGGAACAATAGGCTCTCGCAGCGGTGAGCTGCTCGGGCCTAATAAACGATACAGGAACAATAGGCTCTCGCAGCGGTGAGCTGCTCGGGCCTAAATATGTCTTATATTCTAGGTTCTTCAAAGTTTCCCCCCTTTGCTTTACTGCTTCGCACACTCTTGGCATTCTCTTGATGCAGAGTTTAGGGACATCAGGAGCTCCTCATGCTAACTGCATTGGCACCAGGAACGATGCTAACCCCTCTGTTGTCCTAGCTTCTTCTAGTACCGTATTTTCACGACTATAAGGCGCACTTAAACGTCTTTTTTTCCCTCAAAATGTGCGGTGCCCCTATGGTGCGGTGCGCCCTATGTGTGTTGTAACTGCGACTTTGAGACCACCTCATTGAGGAGATGAAAAGAAAGAGTGGGTGAATGTAAGGAGACCAGGTGTTTTTTTTCCACCCCTCACCATCGCTGTTAATATGTAACTCCATGCGTGCCCATCTGACAAACTGATGTGAAAAACATGGGAAACAAATTAACCCTGTGCTCGCTGTTCAACCCTCACATCGGTGTGAACCGACCCAGCAGGTGCAGCAGAAGCAGCGAGTTTACAAAGCAAAGTCAATGGTTGACGCGCGTATAGGCGCAGCAAAAGGTTTCCCCCAGCGCGTTTGGTGCAGCACGTCGGGGGCGTTTAAGCATCTGATGCACCGCCAACGCGCTGCTGCTGCTCAGATGGAAAAATGTAAGTTTTGCTGCTGGACGCGCCGCATCAACCAATCAGAGAAGCTGATCTGGGAGCTGACAGCGAGACAGACAGCGCTCTGATGACATATATATTAACGCAAATGAAAAGGCTGGGTGGATGCGTGGCTGAGGCAGGTGTATCTTTAGAAACTAGGTGGTTTTTTTCCACGCATCACCATCGCTGGGGTGCCCATCTCACAGCCGATTTTGAAAAAAAGGTGAATCAAATAAACGCTGTGCTCCCCCGTTATCCCGGGGTCTGACAAAGGAACTTCAACAACCGCTCGACATCGGTGTGAAGCGGGCCGTTCAGAGTAATGCTGCAGCGGCGGGAGCGATGGATGACAGACTGAGACCACAGTTTCATGATAAAAAGGAAGGCAGCGCCGGGGAAGTTACGCCACCGTTTGCGGATGGATTGTAGATGGACTGTGTCTGCTGGGTCTGTTGTTCAAGCTTTCGCAAAAGCCGGCATTATTCTGAGGAGCCGCCTGCACGGAAAGTGACCCCTGACAGCAAAGAAGGGGAAACTGGGGATGTCTGATTTAGTGCAGCTGTTTTATTCAGAGGAATGCTGAGGATAACAGAGGATGATGACTTTGATGGGTTTGATTAATACTTTGTTTAAAAAATACATGAATAAAGCACAATCATACTCAGTTTGCTCCAGCTGTATTTTTCTACCTGAAAACTTAATTCAACAGCACCTCTGAGCGCGTCTCCCCTCTTCAGCGCGGTGGCTGGCAGGTGTTTTTTTCATCTAAATAATCTAAATCTTGCAGCTATATTTGGGTGTGATCAGGGGAATAAAGTAGTTTTTAATATGTTTTTAAGTGAGAAAGGCCACCTGAAAACTTAATAATTGCAGTCAGTTCATCCAGATTATCTATTTCTGTCGGAGGCGCTCAGACCCCCACATACCAGCGGTGCACCACAGTAAAATCCTTTCGATCACCGCGGCTGCTGGCAGGTGTTTTTCATCTAAAAATTTTAGCTGCAGGCACCAGGATACCGGTAATAAAAGCGAACATATTCCGTCGCAGGTTTCAGGATTTTAAGTTAATTTAGGAGTGATCACAGCGCTGTGTCATCTGCGATGTGTCTGTCCCCACGGCCAGCTGCCAGGTTTGATTAATATACTTTGTAATAAATACATGAATAAAGCACAGTCATACTCAGTTTTGCCCCCGCTGTATTTTTAAATACGCAGTAGAGGTATTTAAAGGTAGTAGAGGACATGTACCTGTATATAAAAAACGCGCCCTATAGTCCGGTGCGCCTTATGTGTGTGTTAAATACAGAAATGGGACACATAACTGAGACTGCGCCTTTTAGTCCGGTGCGCCTTATGGTCGTGAAAATACGGTATTCAGACATCACTTCTGGCATGCAGATGCACTGAAGTGTTCTCACTGATTTCAGGTCATCAAACGGAGGCCAAATGTCTAGAGTTTGGTAAACGGTGCAAAGCTAAACGTTTCTTGATCAGCTGACTGTTATGGTTGCAGAGCCGCGTACAGGATTCCACATAGCTTTTCAAATGCTGGACGTGGACGGCAATGAGCAGGTGGACAAGAAAGAATTTCTCAAGGTAAGACGTTGTTTTCATTAGTCATCTGTGATGTCACTCTGGGCTAAAATACTATGGCTTCAATATTTGAAATGTGAATATGCAATTAAAGGTGAAATTATTGCATTTTAATGCTGCCAAGAGCTCTACTGATGCTACTGCAGCTGTAAGTATGAATCCAGGCTCCATGTGAAGGTGAGGAAGAGATGAAAAGCTGTTGTTTGTCTGAGGTCGTCCTTCATCTTTCTCCCGTTTGTTTGAAGCCTCCTGATATTTTATGCTGCTTCAAACAAAGAAAAACGGCAATGATGCCCTTTCCTGCAGCTTGTTTTCTATGTTTGAGAACAGAGCATCCATTCAGATGGCATTGTTTTTGCATTCATTATGTTCTAGTGACCAGAAGCTCTGCTTTGGCTTTGGAATTGATTGAAACCACAATCAATCTGTACTTTGTTTGTTTGAAAAGTGATAAGAAGGAAGCAGACTCCCCACGGGTAGGAGGAGGGGCAAATATGGCGCCTTATTAAAGTATTCACACATTGTGAACTTAATAGAACGTCCTGGTCAAAGTTCACATCTTAATGCAATTCCAAAGGCCGGGGTTTACACCCTTCCTGGGAGACTTTGGGTTGTTTTCATTCATAAATCACAATAAAGTGAAAGTTTATCATCAGTTCATTTGTCATAAGTTATGAATACTTTTCCGAGGCACAGTCCTGTCAAACTCCAACTCCTTTGTTTGTTTTTTTATCATTATCTTGATGTTTGCACTTTTTTTTATTCAATGAAACAGAGTTTCTAAAGTTCATCAAAGTTTCATTTCTTTCATTTAAAGTTTTTTTTTTCTTTTTATTGCTGCTGCAGCTCAAGAACATAATTGGAAAGAGTAAACTGAAAGCTTCAAAGGACGTCACTGAGGTGAGTGCGGACGGTTTTTATGGGACTCAGTATTAGATTTTATGATAAACAGGATAATTCCTGGATGATTGCAGAAAGCAGCAGAGGAAGCGGAAGCTGTAAATACATCCCTGCAGGCGTACTTCTTTGGAAAGAAAAGGATACAACAAGCTGAAGTATAAAGAGTTTCACAGGTAGTTAAATCTGATTTCCTTTTATCAGCATGATTTAAACCTCTAACTGCATTTTAAACTGAAATAAGTCAGTCCTTAGAATCTCTAATTATTTCATCTTTAAATAAACATAATAACATAGTTTCTAATCTTTCCGATGCAGGTGTTCAGTATATTTGTGGGAATTTCTTTGGAAAGTTTTGAAGCTTCATTAGCTATAGATTTCCATTGAATTTGGGACAATAGCTTTTTTTATTAATCATTTAGAGGCCGTAATGTGTTGCATGCAGCATTCCTGGTTTGATCCAGTAGGATTCTGGGTCTCAACCAGTCCCAGGTCCTGTAAGCAGTCTGTGTTGCTCAGATTCATGGAAGAACCTCCAAGCTGAGGTGCAGGAGATGGAGTTCCTGCAGTTCTCCAAAGGTATGGACACGATGAGACGGGAGGACTTTGCAGAGTGGTTGCTTCACTACACCAACGAAGAGGATAACGAAGTCTACTGGGAAAACATGAGGAAGAAGATCCCTGCTGGTCAGGTACTCAAACCCTTCCTCTGTCTGACAGGATGATCAAGGCTGCTTAGTCAACAGGAATGTTTCCCTTCCAGAGCATCACGTTTTGAGGAGTTCAAAGCCTTCTGCCTGTTCACCAACAACCTGGAGGATTTTCGCCTTCTCTATGAAGATGGTGACCGAGGCCCAACCGTCCGGTGGGAATGTGTAAGCCTTCCTGCTGCTTGGACAGATGCAGCCATGATGCTTCTTGCAGTAAGATGAGAGCAGACTCTTCTTGTTTCTCTGCAGCCCAGTTTAAACGAGCGGTGAAGATCGCCACAGGTCACGAGCTTTCCGAAAACGTTTCTGGACACCGTGTTCAAACTCTTCGACATGGATGGAGACAACTGTCTGAGTCACAAGGAGTTCCTGGGAGTGATGAGGACCGTGTACTGAGAGGCTTGAAGTAGTTTCCTATTTACAGTCCTGGTAAAAACAAAGGATACCTTCTGGATATCTAAGTTCTTTGATCAGAATCATACCTGGCATACGGTATTGCTCAACAAGGGAGCAGAATTAAATACCTACCGTGACAACAAAAGAAAGCTGTTCCGCACCACTGAATTCATCTCAATAACTTGATGCTAATCAGACTGCAGAGTAACCTTCCCTTTCTTTCACAAACAGGCCTGAATCTGCCTCAGCCGTGTGAGAGCTGACGCCCTGCAGTCAGCCAATCACACCTGCAGTATTATGGGGAGCTGAACCCTCAATAGCCTCAAGCTATTCTAGTTTATCTTCACCTCAAGCTACTGTTAATTTTGATTGGAATAAAAAACGTAGCTTTTTCCTAGTCAAACTTTAATTTTGAGTGATTTCATACAATGGAATTTATTTCTGTATCCTTGGAATCCAGTTTGGATCATTGCAGATGGCTGATCGGCATTCTCACGGTTCATTAAAAGGTCCTGAATCCTTTAATAGCAACTAAAAAGACCTTAATTTGTAATAAAATGTCTAAAATCAGTCTTTTCATCAGGTATGAAAATTGTTAGCACAATTTGTTTGTTTATACCTGTTGAAACATTAAAAAATTGACAATCATTTTTTAATTTAGCAAAACAGCTCGCTGGAAGCATTATTGGTTCCGTCCGATAGCAGAACCAATAAAAATGATTGCTGCAGGTGACCTGTGGAGTGATGCACCGCTGACTTTTTTAATCCGGAGACATGGGGAAGAGTAAATTGACCAGCATTAGCTATCCAGCCAAGAGTTTTCTGCATCGGCTGAAATCAGAGTCCAGGAAAGTAATGAGAACAATGAGAATCAAAGACGGGTAGAGTCATACATGCGTCTGCGTAATAAATCGGGTTTAGTGAGAAGCAGCCAGGTAATTCCTTCTCCTGTCTGTTCCATCCTTGTCTCTTGCAACACGTCACAGGTTCTCCACAGATCACACCAACAACAGTAGCACCAAACCTCTGGATAATGTTTTTCAATTCACCAATGATAAAAAGGCCAGAGGGATTGTGGAGTTGAGGTCAGTAACAAAACACACAGTTGATGAATGAGGTTCAGTAGTTGTTAGAAATAGATCTGTTATTTGTGTGTAGTGCTGGCTAGTGGTAAGTCACCCGTCCTGCAAGACAGGAAGGGTTTTGCAACAGCTCCTTCCCTCCAGCTGGTTTCATATCCCAGCTGGGGGAGGAATGAGCTGCCAGTGAAGGGTCGTTATGCAAGACCCTTTCACACTAATGCCTGCTTTGGGAGTGGTGCCCTAGTGGTTAGGCATTGTCGCTTCGAATGCCCTGTGATTCTGATTATCAAGGCCCCAACTCCCTTGACTGCGCAATCTTCTGACCTCCACACTGCTCTCCCTGGATTACAGCACAATGGCAACCCACTGCCCCCCCCAAGGGGATGGGTTAAATGCAGAGTCAAATTTTGTTTGCTCTTCCGTACTTACAGTGATAATAAAAGAGTGTTTTTTAGTTTTCTTCGTATAGCAGGGGTCTTCAATGTTTTCTCTAGACCCAAGGGAACCCCAAACTGATTGGCGAGATGGAGCAGGGTCCTCCAATTATAAAATGTTGTATGAAACAGTGTTATATAGTCCAACTGTTCCTATAGTCACAGTAGTACCATATGGAGTTAATTAACGAATCTGAATCCACATTGTTGGTTAGGTGTTGTGGAATGAGACGGTGCCCAGACGTTGAAGGAGCTCTGTTTCACTGAATGTGGTCATTCACTGAAATGATATAATCTGCCCTCCATTTATCTGTTTACTACAGTGTGGTGGAATTCATGTTATGTGTATTTGAAGAGTACAATTAGTGGTGATACAATTAAGTTATTCCAATTAGTGGAAAAAAGTGGCAGGGTGGAATATAAAAAAAAAACAGTCTAATCAACCAAAAAACTTTTGAGATGCCCATGCAGTACCCACCATGGAGCCCCTAGGTCGAGGACCCCTTTTGAAGACCTCCACCCTATGGAAAGGTTTTGAAACATCTGAAAACTTTTTACTGCCATGAAGAACTAATCATTTGCTGCTACCAGGTTTTTGTGTTTATTCTGAAGTTGATCTGAACTTTATATTTCAAAGTAGCATTAAAACACAGGGTGGTCATCGCCCCCTTTGTTAATGTCCTTTCAGTCAACCTATTGGCTAATATTGCAGCTGTCCGCTTGAAAGTTAATCTTTGAGGCATCTTTCCGCTCCTTTGAATGTGAGCGACACGCGTTACGCGCGGTCACTATATAAAGAATCGATCTCATTTCCTAGACATTTGATTTTTGCAAAAAATGGTTAGAGGAATCAATTCAACATCGATAAAATCATTTTTTTTTTTTTTTTTATCCACCTATCAATCACTTTCTTCTGGACATCTCCACTGCAGACGTCCTCCCTGACTGACTAGTGCACCTCTTAAAATGATCAGTAGTAAAAAAAAAATATATAAATTTGCTTTAAAATGTTCCCACTGAGGAAAAGTCCCGAAATAATGAATATATTGAAACAAAAATGATGTAAAATAGATATAGCTTGACCTATATTTGGGTTTTTTTTTTTCTTCCTGCGGTTTATGTAAAGTTCTACCTGATGCCGGTGCAGCATCAAAGCGGCATCTCTGGCTACTGGGAAGTGTGTGAAGAGGAGACCCCTGAAGGGGGCTAAGGAGGCCCTGGGAGACAGCGGCTGCCCCAACTGATGCGCTCACCTGTTCCCATCTGATGCGCTCAACCTGTCCCATCTTTGATGGCCTCACTACTGTCCACCACTGCAAAGAACATCTACCATTTATTATACGATAAAGACCAACCTAAGCACTTTATATATGATGAAACACTGCCTGAAGTCTCTGTGCTCGGGATGTTTGACCCACATTTTACATACTGATTATTGTTATTTAGCCATTTTTGCACTGCAATAAAATCAAGTTTAAAATTTTCCAGTTTTTACGAAACTTGACTCCTAATCTCAGGACTGGAAAGAAACAGTTGTGTTAAATTAAAAATAACATTAGAGGTCCTTGTAATGTCGGTAACGCTCTGAATGAGTCACATAGGAACGTGGTGACCACGCGTTTCACAGTGATAATATTATTCAGAGCAGCCATTTTTGCACTCAAAAAAATCCAAGTTTTAATTTTTCCAATTTTTAAGAAGACTTTACCCGATCTCATGACGAAAAAGAAACATTTTGTCACATTTAAATCGAACATTTAAAGGCCTGGTACTCGGATTCGGCTTCTGGATGGAGCGAACCAGAACGTACTGAGTGGGAGTCGCATCATAAACCGATTTATTACAGAGCGGCTGGAGTTTCATTTTATCAACCGAGGGATTCATCCTGTGGCTGTCCCCTATCCGGAGAAGAAAAATGGCTTTTATTTACATGGTTGCTGTATGACCATTCTTCTGGCCTTCTCAATGGTTTGTGTGGAATTTCAATGTTTTTCAAATTTTAAGTTTTAGACAAAACATATCCAACAAGACCCTGATTATAGAATTGATTTGTCTGATCAGAAAAAGGTTTAGGCAGAGGTGGATCCAGGTCCAGAAATAAAATCTGGTTATCTTAACCACACGAGGCGATGCTCCCATCCTAACATGTGGAGCGGAAATAGCTGGACAAACATCGGGTGAAGCTTTTACTTTCTGGTCTGGATTATCCAATAAGTTTATGATTCTTTAGGACATTAATTTATTATATGGAATTCATAATATCATCTTTGACAGCTTTAAACGGTCTGGTTCCTCCCTAAAGGTTTCTTGTTTTCATTCCGGTTGTTTTCTTCCCAGATTTAAATCCCATGTTCTTTGATTTAGAATTATTTTAATTCAGGTGAAACTGTTGGTTGTTTTCAGCTATTTTCTTGCCTCCATAAACAGTTAGGTGTAAATTTTTATATTTTCATAGCGTCAACTAATTTGATGAAACTGATGATGGAAGGGACTGAAAAACTAGTTTCTACTACAATTGATTTAAACATTGGCAACTTTATTCATGGGATTATTTTAACTACAGACGCCGTTCCCTTCTATAAGCAACAGAAATATGTTTAGATCAGAGTTCCTCAATGTTTCAGGGCAGAAGGACCCCAAACTGATGGTGAGATGAAGCGGGGACCTCCTAATTATAATGTTATAAAATTGTGTGTAAACAAAGTGGTCCTATAGTTTACTATCACAGATTGAGATCGGTGACGAAAGTAATCTCCTTCCCTCCCTGGATTATTACAGTATTTCTGATTCTGTTTTATGTGAATGAAAACAGTGCCCCAGCTTGAAAGAGCTGTGTGTCGCTGTATGTGTGCATTGATGACAGAATAACATCTGCCTCCATTTATCTGTTAAACTACAGTGTGTTGAATGAATTCATGTTAATGCGTATTTAAAGCATTTTCAATTAGTTGGATAAAAATTTGCTTGGGGGAATAAAAAAATAGTCTAATCAAAACTTTCGTGACCTCCCATGCAGTACCTCCATGGACCCCCCCTAGAGTTGTGGACCCCCTGTTGAAGACGTCCGATTTTAGATGATTTCTGTTAAAACAGGTTAATCCTGCAAACTTTGCTGAAATCTAGGCATAAAGCAGTTGTGACTATAGTCCTTTATTGTAGAATTTACCTGTTCAGAATCACCATGTGTGGGAAACCATTCAACGAGAATGCCTAATTATTTTACTATACAATAGAATTCAAAGTAAATTGAAAAATAAAAACGCTTACATCTTGAAAGATGAACTAATTATGAAAGAGCATAAACAGCTACCAGAACATTACAACACCGAGCAGGAAGCCATCTTTGGTCTTCTATCACTATAAACAATACATAGAAATTTGTATTGTATCAAAAATAGAAATTACCATCGCCTTATTAAAAGAAAGTTCACATTTTTGAAACATTACAACAGAAAGAGTAGCTATGAACAGATACAGTTTGCCTCCGTGGCTTTAAGGACCCAAATGGGTTGGTTTTGGTTTTTTAACATTCCGGGTTTGTTTTTCTTCCTCCAAAAATTGCATTTCTTTTTCGCAGGTTTATCGATCATACACGCTGTCCTGCATCCGTTTCCTACACAATGAAAAACACAGAACAAAAGGGAACAAAATAACAAATCAGATTGTCAGATAAACATTTGTCTTTCCTCTCCTGTGCGTGTTGGTGAGAAGAACAGCTGATCAGGTAGCCTTCGGTCTTCCTGGGAATTCTTTCCGACTCCGCTTATGGAGGCACATGTGATGAAAATGCAGCCGAACGGACCTCTGCATTGAGATTCAAAGGAAGTGCTTTCAACTGTTTGATCCCCTGGAAGCAGAGCAAAAGAAGTCGTCAATCTCATCAGGCTATTTAGTATTTAGGTAACTGTTGACAACACTTTTATTAGTAATTGTTCACTAGGCTGATACTGAAAGTCTACAGGATGTTTTCATTATGGAAACTTTGACCAAAACAGGAAATGAGGTGTTTGCTGATATTTGAGGAGCGATGGCAGCCTGCATGGGCTACCTCTACAGCAACATCTGTTGGGGAGTTTTTTAGTCCCTCCACAGACTGGTTATAAACCAGAACTTTGCCTTTTATTTCTTTGTTATGTTTTTCCCAAGTCCCTTGCAGCAAAGATCACCTCGTTTGATTCAATCTGAAAGAAAAAAGTAAACTAGTAGCGTTATTAAACAAATCCTGTCAGTCCTGAAACCTCTAGATATACGTAATCTCCTAAAGTTTCTTTGGAGTGAATTTCAGAGCCAAATTGGTCAAAACTGGGATTTGGCAGCTGAACCTGGAAAAAAAAAAGAAAACATTGGAAAATCAACTGTTGTGCCTCTTTTTTTTGGGACAATATTTATAGTAATTTTACGATTTAAGAAGAAGAAATGGCTGGCCTTAAACTAGATCGGAAAAAGGCTCAGAATAGATGATAACTCGGACATAACGTCCCCAATAGTGAGATGTATAAAAATGTTATGAAAATGTTTCAACTAATAATCTGGTTTATCGGCTGCTATTTTTTTTTAACTCAGAATCTGAAACATTTGTTTAATCTCTGTTTAAAGAGCATTCAATCAAAACAACTAATTGCCCATCTTTTCAATTAAGTTTAATAATTAACTTGAATTCTGTTTTGTGAATTAAGTTTGATTTGTTCTCTGATTTTAATGTTCAGTTTTGTTTTTGCCTTTTGTCAATTTGGTTCTCAGATTTTTCATAAAAATAATAAAAATAGAACATTTTTAAACCTTCCTTAATTCCTTAATTATTAATCCACGTCAAAACGACCACAGGCCTAGAGCAAAATTCATCTTCTTATATGAAGGAAAAATAAAACTGACAGATGTTCCAGGATAATGGTCATCAGAAAGAGCATCTCCAGCAGTGTGCAGTCCAATCTATTCCTGAGATCTAATAGAATACCTACATCTCAACTAAAGTTTCCCCATTGGGAACAGAGCAGCACAGAACTGCACCCAACCCACACCTATTTTGAGCACGATGATGTCAGCTGGCTTCAACAAGAGGCTCCTGATCCATTTCAAGTAATTAAAAGATCAATTCCTCAGAGTGAAAAATTTTAGCATCATTAAAAAAAAAAGCCAACTGTAGACACCATCTTTCTGACTGACCTACAATATTTATATGGTTTCAAATTAAGCGAGGCGGAGCAAAGTGTTTTAAAAGTCCAGTTAGCTAGCCAGAGCTAAGGCGTTTATCAAATCAGTTTAGGAAGCAGAGCTAAGGGTTTATAAAGGTCCTATTTACTGAGCAGATCTAAGCGTATTAAAAGTCCAGTTAGGGAGCAGAGCTCAGTGTTTATTAAAAGTGCAGTTTAGTGGAGCAGAGCTTAAGTGTTTATAAAGTCCCAGATAGTGGAGCAGAGCTCAGTGTTTATAAAGTCCAGTTAGGAAGACAAGCTAAGTGTTTATAAAATGCAGTTAGGGAGCAGAGCTAAGGGTTTATAAAATGCAGTTAGCGGAGCAGAGCTAAGGGTTTATAAAATGCAGTTTAGGTGAGCAGAGCTAAGTGTTTATAAAGTCCAGGTAGGGAGCAGAGCTAAGAGTTTTATAAAATAGTGCAGTTAGGGAGCAGAGCTAAGTGTTTATAAAATGCAGTAGGGAGCCAGAGCTAAGTGTTTATAAAATGCAGTTAGTAGAGGCAGAGCTAATGTTTACAAAGTCCAGTTAGGGAGCAGAGCTAAGGGTTTTATAAAATGCAGTCAGGGAGCAGAGCAAAGTGTTTATAAAGTCCCAGTTAGAGAGAGCAGAGCTCAAGTGTTTATAATATGCAGTTAGGGAGCAGAGACTAAGTGTTTTATAAATCCATTAAGGGAAAAAGGCCAAGAGCTAAGTGTTTTATAAAGTCCCGTTAGGGAGCAGAGCTAAGTGTTTATAAAATGCAGTTAGGGAGCAGAGCTAAGGGTTTATAAATGCATGTGTAGGAGGCAGAGCTAAGGGTTTATTAAAATGCAGTTAGGGAGCATTAGCTAAGTGTTTATAAAGTCCAGTTAGGGAGCAGAGCTAAGAGTTTATTAAAATGCAGTTAGGAGCAAGAGCTAAGTTTTAAAAAATGCAGTTAGAGGAGCAGAGCTAAGTGTTTATAAAGTCCAGTTAGGGAGCAGGAGCTAAGGGTTTATAAAATGCAGTCAGGAGCAGAGCTAAGTGTTTTATAAAGTCCATTTTAGGGAGCAGAGCTAAGTGTTTATAAAGTCCAGTTAGGGAGCAGAGCTAAGTGTTTTTAAAGTCAAGTTAGGA